TGCTCTTCCGATCTCCCCAAAACCCCAAAACCCCGTTAAGATAAAATACGCATTAAGTGAGTTAGGTATACAAAATAATAATGGATAAGTATAATTTGTTGGAATAGTAACAATACCAATTTCATTAACCCTTCTAGCAAATTTTTGTTAGAATATCTTACATTATATGATCATTTGGATCTTTATGAATGCTGAATAGGTAATATATCATTTGAAAGTATGAAAAACTAAATCGTTCTCTCTATGTGAAGAATAGATATACTATCACAACATTAATTATGCAGATAAAGACCATGTGGAAATTGGGTATATTTGGTATAATTTCCTTGCTTTCTAAAGTTAAATAGCTTGAATCATATGCTCTGACTGTTAAATATAGAGCAAACATTGTTCTTGTAGATTTATCCTTCTGTACAAGTAGAGATACACCTCCCAAAAACCCTGCCATAAAACTGTTTAATCCATCATCCTTGTTTCTTAGCCTTCTAAAAAGACAGAGCACAAATTTGGAGATAAAAGCAAACAGTCCTAGAAAGACAGGGAATCTAAGTTAGTCTTTGAAATTAATCTTTGACATCTTTTATTTTCCAAGCAAAATCATTAAGAAAGTCATGACTCCTCTAATTGCTACTCCATGCTTCATATTAGTCAATAATCCTTCAACTGCATTGGTCATGCAATCAGGATTATTGTGTTTGCAGTGAGATGTTTTTGTACTGATAAGATATTATAGAAACTTGAGTATGCCAACTACTTTTTCTTCACTTCCTAAAAATATGTCTAAAGTTTATTATTACCTTTACCCTTTTTGAAGTTCTAAGATTCTGATTGTTGCAAGGATTAATTTTTAGGGCCGTCTTATTCCTCTTTAAGAGAATCTTTACTTTACAAAGAAGTTTGTTATACCTAGTTCATAATTACTAAAAAATCTACTTTAGAACTTTATAATAATTATATTAATATCTATTTTGAAAGTAAATATCTTCACTAATTTTATTTTACAGAAATCTGATGGGGTTTTGGGGTTTTGGGGTTTTGGGGTTTTGGGG